TGCGGGACGCCTCGTCTTTCGGAGGCCATCAGGCTCCTAAACTCCCCTCTTCCTGCAGCCTTTCTTTTTTTCTGCTAAAAGAGGGGAATTTAGGCCCAACATGAAAAATGGGCTAATGTTTTTTTTTTCCACCAGCTCGATATCTTTGTGTCCCGCTTGCTTGCATGCCGAGGGGGCGAACCAACCTCTCTGGGTCTTCCTCACAGACGCAGATGAAAGCAGGTTTTGTTGCGACTCAAAACCTGCCGGTTTTTCCTCACTACTTAAGATTAATTTCTTTACGTTAAAACTTGTGTTCTTGGTTAGGGGGTTCTAGTGCCGGCTGATCACACAGAGGGATGAAAAAACTATTAACATATGGCTTGATGTAGCATATAGAGCATGCCAGGTTTTAAATATCAAAACCAAAAATTTACAGACTGCTAAAGGTGAAAGAACTCTGGGAAGTCACCGTGTATCATATAGAGCATGGAAACTTAAATATCGAACACAAAAACTTACAACACTGGTAAAAATGGAATGCTGGGAAGTCACCATGTTAAAACACGTTGTAATATGTCTCTGCTGGTAGATGTGCTGAAACGAGCTTTCTTAGCCATCTCTGGTCAAGCATGTGAACATCGACTTTATTGTTTTGGATCTTGCTTTCGACTATAGATAGCTGAATCTCTGTAAAAGTAAACACTTCAGTGAGATCTGGAGTGTGCTGGTCCGGTTTGACCGCTGGAAAGTCTTACAGCTAATTTATAACAAATGTAGAGCGTGTACAATAAAAGCTGATGATAACTTGCGTAAAAATTTAACGTGGCTGAGATGCAAAGATTCTGCAAGGGAAGAAATCGATCCTGACAATTTTTGAAGGGACTTTGTATTTCTGCTAAGCTATCCTAGTTCCTAATTTTAGTTTGAAGAGTTTAATTCTGAATATTTGTATCAGAAAATTGCTTGTTTGGTCAAGGTCATAAAGTAAATAGCCAACGATTGTGAAGATTGCAATATTAGGGCTGAACTAAAGCAGCTTTCCCCATGTTTTGTTGTAATAGTTGTTCTCATGTTTTGATAATAGTGTGCACACTGCTTTAATAATCAGTGCGCGATCTGATCTTTGCGAAGTGCCTAACTAGCAGTTTGAGGTAGGTGGCAGCCAGTAACTAGTAAATGATCATTAACGCTGTGTGAGAGGTGTATACATAAAATGTCACACTAAGCAGTATGATATGACAGGACAAATACAAGGCTCAGTACTTCTGTGAACTAACTATTCAAGCCTAATTAACTAGTGGGTTTTTTTGTTGTTTTTTTCCCCCCTCTTACAGAAGGGGTCCTCGCCGGTTGCGCCTGTTCACATTGTCAATGAAGAGTCAGCTGACAAGACTAATTTGGGCTTTATTCATGCATTTGTGGCTGCTATATCGGTCATCATCGTATCAGAACTGGGGGATAAGACCTTCTTCATTGCAGCCATCATGGCAATGCGGTACAACCGTTTGACTGTACTGGCTGGTGCTATGCTTGCCTTGGGACTGATGACGTGTTTATCAGGTTAGCGCTCTTTTCTTTTTGTTTCATCTCTTAAAATATGCTGGGTACATATTTATCAATAAATCTTAACTGAAATTAAAATGAAGGTAGTAGCTATATGCAATTTCCTGTTTTGAGGAGAGTGTGAAGATTTTCCTGGGGACCATGGCTCAGATTGAATATTTAGGCTCTTACCTGTAATGAGATGTTTGTGCTCCCTAGACCTCACTACAAATTTAAGGAAGAGGAATGGGATTGGGAGCCTAAGCACTTCCTTTGATTTTTGGACTACTGGTTTCCTTCTTATTTTTAGCTCCTGTTAAATTAGCATGCCTAAAGAGAATGTGGGAGTGACTTCTTTTTTTCCTCCTAAGGCAAAAGATTCTTAATATGATGACAAATTTCCCTTGTTTGACTTGTATCCCTGTATGTGTAGCTGTTTGGATTTGTGCTGGGAGCTGTGTAAGTGGAAGATTGTGTTCTGCTGTGATCCCTTTGGGATGGGTGGTAGCGACAGAGCCAAGAGCTGCAGAGGGAGTGAGGTGTCAGGTAGCAATGGAGGAACCTGTAGCTGTGGGTGCTTACGTAGCTGTGATCATAAAATGGAGCAGCCTTCAGGTAAATCAGATACAGCATAAATTTTGTTGTAGGTGTGCTCATTTTTAACCATGACCATTTCATAAATAATTGAAATGGTGTTCATTTCATGGAGACAGCTGATTGGCTTCAGGCTTCTTGGTGAGTGTTTCTATGAACGGTTTTTGGATGTGTAGCTATTGCTATGTATTGCTGCAATTACTATTGCAGTCTTGGAGCAGTTTCCATTTGTGCTGTGTGTAATGATAGCATTGTATGCGTTTCTTCGATTATTCGCTTAATATAACAGTCTTTGCTTCTTCCACTTCTGCACTGCTTGCTTCATTTAACATTATTTAGTAGTGCAGGTGATGCACTATTCTATAAATCTTGCACTCTCTTTTCTCCTGCTTATTACGGCTGTCCCATTTTCTATGCTAAGTCTTTCTTCAAATCTTTCATGATGCTTTTTCATAAAAGCGTTCTTTTCTGCTTTATCCCCAAGTTTAGGGCTTCCCAACTATTTCTTCCTTTGCAGACAGGAGCTTTTTTTTTTTTCCCTTCCTTCTCCCTTCTCTCCACTGCCCTTGTTTTATACAAGCTGTGTCTGGAGATTCCTGGAGTTTTTGCACACCTTTGATTTCATGAAAATGTGCTCACTTAAACTTACTGGCTCCAGCTAATCACTACTTGGGGTGTTTTTTCAAGCTGTGCTTAGAGACAGTTCTACCTTTCTGACAAAATAAGCTGCTTATTATTCTGATAATACTAATCATAACTAATATTATGAGTATTTAATTATTTCTATGCTTGTATATGCAAGTAATGCTAAAAAAATTCTGTTCTTGTATTGTTTCTTGCATTGCTTTAGTATGTTCAGTCTTTAAAAAGAAGCTTAGTTTAACTCCTTTTTTTATTTAGCTGTGCAGCTAATACTGTTATTCATATACGTATGTGCCGTGTTTTCTAATAGTACAGCCTGATTCATTTTGGTCTCATAGTCTTACTTTTGTAGTGGTAGTGTGGATTAATTTCCACATTATGTAGTAACTTCTGAGTGCATTTTTCAACTAAGAGAGTGCGTGCAAGAAAACATACACAGTAATATGCTTCCTCTTAGGTAATTGCATGTGGAGTAAAACCACAGAAACAGTTGTGAGTGCATGGTCCAAGTAGCCTTGAATGTTAGGTGTGGAGTTTTAATTTTCTGTCATTTATACAGGCCTGTTTTCTCCAAAAATGCTAACTAGTCTTACTTTGTCCTAGATATGTATTTCTTCTTCTTTGAGAGGTAGTTTTGGCTTAGTTTGATTGCTGTTGATACCCATAAAAGTAGATACATTGTGGAGGTAGCTTTTTGGCTTTGAGTGGGCTCAGTGCTTGTAAATTAAAGGCAGATCAAAGTTGGTCACATTGTGTGTTTTGGGGAGTGTGGGAGAGAAGGGAGTAGTAATGTGCAGGTATTTGCACTTGGCAAAAGAAGACAGACATTCATGCAGCTGGATGATTTGTGGGTATGTCTAGTAGATTTAACTTGCAGAAAATCTTACTCTAACTTTATCTGATAAATGCAATTATTGGAGAGAGATGCTCTTCAACATGTAGTCATATGTAAAAATGGAATTATCTGGTATACACTGTGACTAATGTAATGTGATTACAGATGATAGTTTCATGGCATGCTTGGAGAAAGGCAGGACTTGGTTAGTCCTTGATGGGAAAGATAATGTTGGTTTGACTGGCTCTTGGGAATAGCAGCACATCAGCTTTGCCTAGTGTGCCTTGTCTGCGTGTTAATAGACTTAAAGTCTCTGGTATGACCAGTAATGGTTGGAGTTTCTAGAGTGTTTTTATCTTGCAAAAATAAAAAAAGCCACAAAATTATGTAAAACTAACAAAACATGCCATATTTATTCATCAGTGGATATTTGAATCGCAGGCTTTAGATATGGGGAAAACAATGATGATCCTCGTGCTTATTTTTTTTAAATGACATATTTGCTTTCTTTTCAGTTTTATTTGGCTATGCCACCACAGTTATTCCTCGTGTGTACACATACTATGTGTCAACGGCACTGTTTGCAATTTTTGGCATCCGAATGCTTCGGGAAGGCTTGAAAATGAGTCCAGATGAGGGTCAGGAAGAGCTGGAGGAAGTTCAAGCAGAAATTAAAAAAAAAGATGAGGAAGTAAGTCATGAGCTTTCTGTGAATTATGGCTGATGAAATAGTTACAGCTGTGAAGCTGCAGAATGGCACTGTGATGTTTGGGGTGTTCAACTGTGTCTGTGTCTGATACTCTGACACAGAAAACGTTTGGTAAATGGGACAGAAGTGGCCCCTGGAGGCTTTCAACAGGTGATTCCAGTTCTGTGGCAAGCCTGTTTTCTCAGGAAAAAGGGACTTTCTCAATAGAGTCAGTTTTTTGGTGTGTGGTTTGTTTTTTTTTTTAAGGCATTACTAGCAGAGAGGACATCAACAGTTTACTCTTGCCTCTCTTTTTATTTCTTTTTATGGTCAGGAAGAATAATGCTGAGGTTTTTGGTGTTGCAGCAGAGGTCTTTTATTGTAATAACTTTTTAAATACACTGGTCCACTTCTAAGGAATAGTGTGGAGTATTAATCTTATTTCTTTCATGAATCTTTTTCCTTGTTAGTTTTATGAAATCCTAATTTGAGAGGGGGATCCCTGCTTTAAAAATAGGAGGAAATCTGTGGTTAGAAACCAGACGTCATTACTAAAACTGCTGCATAAGTGCAAGCAGTACAAGATGGACAGTAACTGGAGGTTAGAGGTAATTACAAGTATGTATATATGTGCATGTGTATATACACACGTTTGTATGCATATATGTAGCTAGCTTTTTAAAATGGTGTCTAATATAAATAATATATTGATAATGCAGCAATCAGTGGCTAGTAACATTCCAGATACTAAATGGCTAGCTTTACAGTTTAAGTATTTCATTTGGGTTGTTTAGATGACATTTCTAATCTTATGGTTGTTTGGTTCCACCCCACCCCCACCCCCTCCCCCCTTATTCTCCACAGCTTCAGAGAACTAAACTGTTAAATGGGCCGGGAGATGTGGAATCGGGGCCAGGCACCACTGTACCTCAGAAGAAATGGCTACATTTTATCTCTCCAATCTTTGTTCAAGCTTTTACTTTAACGTTTTTAGCAGAATGGGGTGATCGTTCCCAATTAACAACCATAGTCTTGGCCGCCAGAGAGGTGAGTGTTGCAGAATGCCCACTGTTCTTTTGCCCTCTTTGGGTTGCCCGCAGAGAAGTGGGAGAGACAAAATACTTTTGCAGGAGGTATTAGATTCACACCCGCTGCCTTGCTGTGCCCTACTTAATGTTACAGCTGTGCTGAGACCTGAAAAGAAGTGCACTGAAGTTCTGTGTGTTATTAAAACTATTGTTACATGATTGGGACTGCACAGGCATTTCTGGAAATAGTTGTTTTATATCATGCATCTGAATACAATTGTTTCTGTTAAAGTGTTGAGAGATGTTACAGAACCTCTTTTTCTTTGATCTGTGTGGTCATACAGTTTTAACACAGTAGCTGTAAAGAGAAACCTTCATCCTAGCAAACCTAAAGCTGTTAAGAAGATAACCTCTTTTAAGAAATCTAAGTGAATATGGTACACTGTATAGAACTAAAATAAAATCTGAACTGCTGTACAGTAAGCAATACTGTAAATGAAACTATATTCAGCATGATGATTGGAAAGTATATAACTATTATATTTAAAGGAAAATTAAGGCTTATAGTCAACCTTTTAATAAACATAAGTAGCTTGCCTGTGCTTTCTCATACATTGAGATAATTTACAGTTTTTCCCTAGGACTCATGCTTCATTCAGTGCCCTTTCAAACCTTCCCTAGGGGTACATCAGGGTGGTGTAATGAAGGAGGCTATAATCTATATGAACCTCTTGTCTTTATTACAGCGCAGAGAAGGTGCTTAGAGCTAGCGAGGCAGGGAACAGCAGGACGAGAGGATGATCTCATCGTTCAGGCAGTTACATGCCATCTTGGAAAACAAGGAGTTATTACTGCCTCTGCCCAAGTTTTTGTATGGTGCTAGGCAAGTTGCTTAAGCCCATCTTTTCACTGGTGTTAGTTGACTCCTGGTTTGCATTTTCTGAGTGTCCCCTTTGGAAGTGTCCATCTGACTCTGCCATCTGATCTGCGAAGTGCTGAGCATTGCAACTACAGACTGGATGTTGTGTGCCCTTAGCTTGTGAAGTGTTTGTATAAGTGCTACAAAAATGAATACTACAAAAAAATGAATTGAAGATATCTTGATCTTGGCTTTCAAAATCAGTGAATGATTATGATCTGCATCTCTCAATTTTATCTGTGGGATTCTTTTATACCCCTTTGTTTCATAATACAGTCAGATAAATGCATGTTTGTGAAGTACTAAGATATATAGCAGGAGTACTACAGAAGTGCTTATGAGGAAAGAAATTATCTTTATACAGAGATTTGAGTACTGTAGTAAGTCAGCTGGGACTATACATTCTTCAATGAAAAGAAAACAAAATACTACGTCACTGGTTGTGAAGTGAGTAGCGTTCGTCTTGTCACAACAAATAGGGCTCCTTTGGAAGGAAAAAAGGTGATAATTTGGCTGTCTTGGTACATGCACCAGGGGATCGAGTTAAGCCTGTCTTAACCTAATCCTGACAACAGTCCTTAAGAACTTGATTTTTACAACTTAATATTTTACTGTGTATAAGCATTGTTCATCTGTTTAAGGAAACAGAAAAGGAAACTCCATAGGGTCCTGCTAGACTGGCTTTGCCTCGGCTGCTGCATCTGAGCACTTCTGCTCCTGGAGATGCGATGCTGAGGGAAATGTTGTAACTTGTTACCCTCCAGGGAGAGCTCTAGGGAATGGGGTGGGCCCTCTGCCAGTGGGGACTATACAGGTAACTGCTGACAGCAGGGAAACAGGGATTTCCAGGAACTTTGAGTCCTGTTCCCAACCCTGGAGGCAGTGAGGCTGCTGGGACAGCCCTGCTTCCAACCTGCGCTTCGTGGTGGTTTCCTACCTGTCTGCTGCTTGGTGCTCGGCACCTTTTCTCACTGGCATGTGGTTTTGGTTCACCTGGACAGTTGATGTCTGTTTTCTTCGTACTTGATCATTTCCTATAGATAGCTTTGCTGTTTGCCTGTTAGAGATTTCATACATTCCTCACGTGAAGGCAGCAGCTTTTTTTCCCTCTTGGAGCTAGAAGTCTCACTTGAAGATGTGCAGGGGACTCAACTCCTCTCTCCATCATTCATCTTTGTACAGCAGAAAGTCATGCTCCTACCATGCCTTCTTTATCGGTCATTACAAGATTGATTTAAGTTTCTAATGCAGAAGCTTTCTGTTTTACGAGGTGTTCAATGTCTATACTGCCTTAACTGTGTAATTTGTAAGTAGATCTGAGAAACTTCTTTGTGTAGTAGATTTGCTCACGAATTGAGTAGCTGTTAAGTAGTGATGTGAAAGCTGTTGTTGACAGTAAACTTTGAAAACAGTTTATTATTTTCTGGACTTAAACTCTTTCATATTTCCCTCTTTGGATGGTTGGAGTAGGGGAAGAGTATAGAGCACAAGCTTGTGAAGCTGGACAAAGGAGTCAGAATGATTTAGCTGCTGAAAGCTTTCATTTGCTGTTCATAGATTTATTTTTCTCTTTCTTATTAGGTTGGTGTTCTTCCAGCTGATGCTTATTGTGTTTCTCAACAGCTGCTACCTTCCCTCTAGAGGTTGCTTGATTGTTTAAGTACAGCAGAGTGATTTCTGGATCTATATTTAACTACTTGAAGAGGTTTCTTGGTTGAAACATGCCATATGCTCCTATATTAAGTCAGATTTAGATTGAAGTCTGTCTTGCTAGCTGACGTACACTGTTACTGGTCTTTAAGGCAGTGATGGATAGCAGAGCAGAGGGAACACCAGAGAGTATCTTCTGTGCTTGACAGTGTGCAAACAAGGAGTCAAGGCATTCCTCCTTCATGGCAGGAGGTTGTTGTAAGACTAGTGGGTTTTCAGCTGTGCTGATGTTTCCCTTCTGTTGTTTTTTCCCTCAGGACCCCTATGGTGTGGCGGTAGGAGGAACAGTGGGACATTGCCTGTGCACCGGTTTAGCAGTTATTGGAGGGAGAATGATAGCACAAAAAATTTCTGTTAGGACTGGTAAGTGAAAACTCACTCCAACCAAAAAAAGCATGTTGATGCTGGTAATGTCTGTGGCGTAAATGGCTATGAGGGTTGGGAACAGTGTTTCCCAAAACTTTTTTTTGACTCTGGGTATTCCATACCACCCCCCAAGCCCCGTAGTCAGCTCCCCTCGTGATGGGTGGCCCTGCACAGGGTGCTCCTGAAGCGTTTGGCCTTCATTGAATTTAATGGTTTACTGACTCAGATCTAAGGAATCACAATGGGTATTGTAGCTCCAGGTTTAAAGATGGACACAGGTGAAGCATGTTTTGCTTCACTATTAGCTAGCTTGTAGGAGACCAGAGGAAGGAAATACAGTATTTGGAATAGGCAGTATGTATTGTTTGGCAATGGGTAATACAAATTCTGTTGAAATTCTGAGTACAAACCTTCAGGTGAGCAAGAGAGCTTCATACTTCGACGTTATGGCAGCCATACAAAAGCTTTAAAAGCTACTCTGTGTGTGGCAGAAATGTGTTTTTTTTTTATCATACCTGCTATCTCCAACAGGAAGTACCAGTAAGGTTACATTGGGTTGGGGTTTCTTTCTGGTTAGGTTGAAGCTTGTTTCAACTGTCAGTCCTGTGATGTAGTGAGATTTTTTGCTCTCAGAAAGGATTCTGTGAAGGTGCTTCCTATAAATGTTCATTCAAAATATTTTTTCTGTAGTTGCAGAGATTGTGAGGAAAAAACCCCACAACTTCACTGCAAAAAATTAAAATGTGCATTCTGTCTTGTTTGCCAAGGCAATTGATGATGAGGTGCTCATCTAACTATGATTTGAAATGTCCTAATAAGATCAGTGTGGATCTTTGGCCATAGGAATAACATTACTAGGTTAGACCAAAGATCCGTCTAGCTTCTTAGCTTGTTTAGAGAAGGGCAGAACAGTCCAAATATAGTGGTGCTTTCCTGGCATAGTGTCCCAGCCTCCAGCAGATTGTGGTCATTGCGAGTAGTTCACGTTTTTATACTGTCTCTTTCAATATAGTTACCTAAACTGTGCAAAAAATGCTAATTATTATGTCACTCCTAACTGATGGCTTGCTCCGGCATGAGAATATTGTATCTCATTTTCCCCCATACAGCCAAATATTCAACAGCAGGTGTTGACCTCAGTTTTACACTACCTAAAGTAATAAGGGTGAAAACAAAGCTTCCTTCTACGGATCAGGATATGTTCTTGTAGGTGCAATTAGACAGTGGGATGGCATATGGGCATCCTGACACAGAGCTAGAAACAACGTCCACTGTTTGCAGCATAAATTTTAAAGAAAGATTATTTGGGAATCAGACATGAAAAATAAATAAATCTGTAATGTGTCTTGGAAGATATTTAAGTTTTAGTGTCTAATTTCTTTTTGGTTTGTTTTTTCTTTTCAGTGACAATCATAGGAGGTGTTGTCTTCTTAGCATTTGCATTTTCTGCACTATTTATAAGTCCAGACTCTGGTTTTTAAAATTTTTCATCACTGCAGAAGAACAAGGATTGTAAGCATCAAGCAGCTATCTTTGTGCATTTTTGTATATAATGTACAGAATTACAGTTAAACAAGCACTGAAGATGAGACACTGAACTTTTTATAGCAAATGATTCATGGGACTGACACATTGATGGACAGCTTCTGCAGTGGAGATCTGCTTATTGTCTGGTTTGTTTACTCTGTGGTGCCTGCTCCCTTGGTGGGATTTGCAGGGTTTTCTTGCTTGCTGGACCCAACTCAGCTGATCTTTGAGGATCCACTCTCATAAGTATTGTGGCTTCCTCTTCTCTTCCTCTGTTACACATGGCCACCCTTCCTGTTTCTGCAAGAGCTTCTCGAAGCATACGGAGTCTTGTTCCATGTCGCTCAACAGACGGTGTTAAGGAGAAAACTGCTGCCTCCCACCTCCAAGGACTTCGGTTCCAGGGTGTGCCTGAGGCTGGATAATCTAAGCAACAAGAAACCTGGGAGCAGTTCCTATACCATTTAGTGGCTGAGCCACCGACAGAGAATTTTATAAATGTAATTTAGAGGGAAAACTTCTTAATCAGGGATTTTTATCAGGAAATTGATGTGTGGTGATTAACAACCTACCATGTTCAATATGCAATCTGTCTGAGGCTAGTATTATTTGACTTTTTTTTGAATTTTGAAACATTAAAGTATATGGAAAGTAATAAAATGGTCCAACTTGATGTTCCATTCCCAGTGTTGAACAGGAATGGAATTCTTAGATTTAGGTGTGTTCCTATTTTTCTTCTTAGGAATAGAAATGTAATCTGGAAGAGCATTAATAAAACATAGCGTCTCCATTTGAGTTATTTTCAGTATTGTTTTCGATGGTTCCTGTAATTCCTGCCACAGAGGTTTACGTAGTGATTATGTACTTAAGGTGAGGAAAGTTTACTATATTTATTTTGCATACTGTTAAAAATGCCAGTTTTAAAGATTTTGAAAACGCTGATAACCGAAGCTATGTGGGTTGCTGAAATACGTGCTTTTTTTGCGCTTTTCAGTGATGACTTGGGTCCTGAGCTAATGGCTTAAATAAGCCATGCAGAGTGACACTGTAGCAGTCTTGTGAAATAGAAGATACGGTTTCCAATGCCATGAATCTACCTTACTGAAGCTAAAGCAATACGGAGCGTTACAGATTTGACCATTCCACATGTAGCTCCCAAACAGAGCAGTCCCTAATTCTTCTCTGAGGTTTCGCTGCCCAGAAAACCACTCGATGCCACACTTTCAAAACACTGAGATGGCAGCAGCGCAATGCCTGTCACACATGGCGGTATGAGAAGATGCTACCACTTCAGGCTCTGGGTCTGAACGTTCCTGTGTTGGTTTGCTTGTGTGTTTTTTGGGGGTTTGTGTTTTCTTTTTTTTTGTTTGAGGTTTTTTTTCCCTTTTGAACCAAACTTTGCAGCCAAAACCTGTAGTCTTTTCTTCCCCACAGCCTGGAAACACGCACTCCATCTGTGCTGCATTTGAGTTCCTGTGTGGAGGGGATTTGTAGCAGAGGTCATATTAAAACAGCACAGGAGCAGGGAACCCGAAATAGGGAAGACTCTGAAGTTTTAACTGTTTATTGGACAACTGCTTGTTGTACTGACCAGAAGTGGTGCTGCTGGGCTACAGTATGTCCATGTGTCCTACGTAAAGTAACCGTGGTGCCACGGTTCATCCTGCTTGAAAATTCCTGCTCAAAACTCACAAAAAAGACAAATAAGTTGGCCATACTCTAATGTAGAAGAGTTCCAAACTTTGTTTGCGCTGCTTAAAGCTGTTTTGATGTGAAAACTATCGGGATCAACAGAAAAATGAAGCTATTTAATGTGGTGTTTGTAGAGGTAAGTGTGAAGTTGCAGAACAAATCTCTGCAACTTCCACACTGAGGTTTTACCATCACAAGCTTATACATGATGCTAAGTACTATTCCCTGGTCATAGCGCTGCATTTGGCTGCTCTCTAATGACAGCTGGGCTGGTAGGAGTTTGAATAGTGGTTTTGCTGCTTGTTTTTTCTAAAGCACAAACATTGACTTATCCTTGGAAATCTATTCTAAAAGTAGATAGCTCATGAAATTTTAGTAAGGGCTTTGAAAGGTGCTTTAGTGGTTGCTCTTAATTACAATGATTTAATGTTGTCGAGCAGTGGAATTTTTCACAATTTAAAGAATCTAGTTGGACGTAACCGAAGCCTGTTGAAGGTGATAGAGGACTCCACTGATGTATTTTTAGCAGCAGCCTGTGCGCTGCACTGCCTTTAGCTCAAAGGGTGTCTGTCCACAGCGTCTCGAAGCACTCCTGCCCTCGCCGGCTGGTGCCAGGGGTGGCATTTCAGCAACTTTCATCATACTTCTTTCTTGTATTTCTAGTGTGTTGCTGTCGGAGAGGTGTGTGCCACTGCTCTGTCTTGAAACACCTGGATCCTGAGGTACCGCCAATACCTTCAGGAGTGTGTGTGTGTGCGCACATGCAGGTGTATATATTTATATTAAAGTATATTAGGGTGAGTTTGCATCAAAAACTTCCAGGTTTTGTTAAAGCCTTTCTTTGCCCATGCTTTCCGTAAAGTAGCAGGTCTTAATTAAAGAGGTAGATATTTTGTCGGTAAGAGGAAGCCAGTCAGTTTACTAGAGTTAAAACAGGTTCTGGGGGACCCTGGGCTAAACCACCCAGAAGGTGGGAAGACCTGGGTGGATGCTGCAGTGACTGGTGATGCCTGCCACGGTCAGGGGTGGGCAGCTGAAAGCTGTAGTGTTTTGACACTTGAGATGCTGATGGATGTGAGACTAATTCATTCCCTGCCCCTCCTCCCCTTCCCTGCCCAGCAGAGTGGTTTATTTTCGTTATTTGAGGGGTAATGGAATATTCTGTCTTTTCAGCTCCTAGCTGTAGCACCGCCTTCCTCTTCTGAGAGACCGTCCTGACAAGTTCTTTACCGACTCACGGGAGTGTTCAGGCACGAAGGCTGAGCAGCATCTCGGGGTCAGATCGGGGCCAGGGGAGACACGATATTCACAGAGATGCTAAAGGGATGACACTGTAGCCTTGCGCCGGGGGCGGGTGCTTTAGAGCTTTTGGCCCCATTGCTCATGCGGAAGAAACACAGCCGCACCTGTGGTTTGGTTGTGCAGTGGCAGTGTTTGAGCTGCTCTCGGGTAGGCTGGAGGAGCCATTTTCCAGGGCTGGGAGTTGCAAGATTGCAAAGTTCCAAGACGGCAGGCTTGATGCTGTGCTGGTGTGTCCCACATGGCTTTACAAAGCCGCCTGTCCGGAAGCACTACGCGTAGCGACTTCCTAGGTGGTGGTGGTACTTGTGGGGCAGGAGCTGGCTATTTGGCCAGCCAAGGCCTGGCTTTTCAGGAAGAAAATACAGAAAAGTTTTAAAGA